CGTCTTTCTCCCTTTTATTTACCCGCTTATGATGGTTAGATTAGGGCATATTTTAATTAGTATACAGTATGACAGCATGTTTGCATCATTCACCTGTTTTGTATGCACCGGGCTCGGCGCATCATACTAACTGCATTGTATTTTCAATTCCAAGTTGAATACATGTTAGCTGTAGCATTTCATATGCCATGTTTAGAATAGCCGAGCCTTCTATAGTTGCATTTTTGCATGTGTTGCATTAGGCATTTCTGTATAATTAGGATCATGCATGGATTTCTAATTAGCTTCTGTTTTGGCTTGGAGTACTCGGTAAGTTTTATGCTTTAGCATCCTTCCATCCGTGTGAGTGACTGCCATGAATAGCATGCTTACCATGAGGCTATATGCTTATGTGATATAACTGCCTGAATGCTTGTGGGTGAAGGTTGGGTTATTTGGATTGGAACAATTCGTTGACTATGAGTTTTTTTTTTTTTTAAGCCCACTAGATAGTGGCAAAACCATCTTTTCTAAAAGCCCACTTGAGGGTGGCAAAATCGGCATTTTAGCCTACTTACGAGTAGCAAACCATTTTCAAAACAAACATGAAATGTTTTGTTCCAATTTGGGCGATTTGGTTTATACTTGTTTGCTGCGCGCATAACATAGTACTTCTAGGCTAATAATTGGTTTAAGAACACATAGCGTTTTCAAAATTGGATATCACGGTTAGTAGAGGCCGGTCTTCGGATCGGGCGAAAGGGGGTGCTCATAGCTGACCTTCCCCGATCGTACCCAAGCTCCCGAGCCGAGACAACTCCGGTGATGACGGACATGTGGCCTTTGGCACCGAGTCAGGGTTTCCTAAATTTTCCCATTTTAAAAATATTTAGGTGGCGACTCTGTATCTGGCAAAGCAGTCCATGTTTGGCACTACTTTTTCAAAAATCTGTTTCTCAAAACGATTTGCCAGATTTGGACTCTTTGGTTCAGATTAAGAACGGTGACACAAATCGAGAGTCCGAACTGTAGCGAGGTCCCCCCCTCCCCCCCCGCGGGCTTGCTACAATATGATAACAAACCCCAAGATGTTTCTTACCACACTAATTACTTGCCATATCTCTAGTGGAGCCCGAAGTGCTTGAGGATCCCGTATTTCACTTTTTCGATGATCCCTTCTTTGAGAAGAAACCCGTTCTCTTACTTTTCCAATCAGTTGGTGGTTTACTCTGATTGGCCATATCAGTTTCAGACATTAAAGCCCGATCCAACACATCAATGTAAGTAGGCAGTTTCAATACGTTCACTCTTTCTTGAATATCATTGCAGAGACTGCCCTCAAATTTTCTTGCCTTCTTATATTTGGTGTTGACCATATGCGGTGCGAACCTGGCCAATTTTATAAACATTACATCGTATTCTACCATAGTCAGATTGCCTTGTTTATGCCCCTCAAATTCAACCACTTTTCTATCACAGGCACATTCCAGAAAGTATTTATGGTAGAAGATCTCCAAAAATTGTGTCCAATTAATATTGTTGTTATTCTCACGGATTTACATCTACCACTTCCTTGCTTCGTCTTCAAATGTAAATGTTGCCAACTGTACTTTTTGTGCTTCGAGGCATGGAAATACTTCAAGCAGTTTCTCAATACCCAGGACCCAAGCCTCGGCCTTCAGTGGATCCACTCCCCTATGCAATGCCGACAGTTTCATCTTCTCAAACTCCTTGGTAAGAGCTATTGTTCGATCATCACTTTGCAAATCTTGCACAGGCTGTACCGGGGGTGGAGGTGGCAGTTGTTGGCACTGTTGTTGCCATTTCTATTATTGCCTCAATGTTTCTGCCATGTCCTGGATCAACCTTTCCATTATATTCAGTTTGGTAGTAAAGGATTCCTCTATCTCCTTGGCTCTTGTTCTCATCATTATCTGATGAGACTTACATTATCTTTCAGACAAAAATCATGTACAAAATATTCATAGACAGAAAAAGCACGGATATACAAATTGGCAATAGTTCATATATCATGTAGTCACATATTTCAGAATATTTTAACATATTCTTAATGTATTCAAGCATCTATTTACAATATAAATACAACTTAACTCTTTTCTAGACACTATTGCTCACTTGGACAAGTGTGTGAGTTAATACTCGTGCTCTGATACCACTCTGTCATGACCCGAACCCGGCCCTAAAAGTTAGGATCATAATTGGCCAGTAATCGTGAGATTACCTATAGCCTTAGATGGAAAATCAAACATATTTATCAATAGAAGCAAAAACACAAGGATTGTCCAATGAGTGCATATGTGGCAAAATAAAAACCTTCCATACACACGCACACATATATAATAACAAGCACATCATATAATAATCCATTACGCATGACCAGAATCATTCAAAAATTGTCATATGATAAACCAAGGATCATTCAAAAAAACCTCAACAGAAACCTAGGGTTATATGAGCACAAAAGAAAACAAAAAGGAAAATCAAAAGCCTCATATGTGAGGCAACCTTATCAAAATTCAAAACTTGGTACTATTTCACAATTTCACTAGGGCTGGGGCTAGACATCCCGCTGCTCACCTACATACATATAAATAAAAAGTGAGCTAATACCTAGTGAATAATACCAGAGTATAGAGGTTAATGAATGAGATTTGCATATACACAACTCATACTTGTACTTAATACATAAAAAGCACAATTCTCATTCATAAACGACTTAAGCAAATTATAATGGAATGACCTCAGGTCCAATAAATTATAATCGAAACGACCTTTGGTCCAACCCATTCATTCATAATTGAAACGACCTTCGGTCCAACATATTTATACATAATCGAAATGACCTTCGGTCTAACATATTCATACGTAATTGAAACGACCTTCGGTCTAACATATTTATACATAGTTGAAACGACGTTCAGTCTAACATATTAATAGGTAATCAAAACAACCTTTGGTCCACCATATTTATACATAATTGAAATGACCTTTGGTCCAACATATTCATATGTAATCAAAACGACCTTCGGTCCAACATATTCATCCATAATCGAAACGACCTTTGGTCGACTCAATTCTTGTTCGAAATTAGCTTTGGTCCATAATTATGATCATGCTCTCATGCATATTCATATTCGAAATGACTTTTGAACCAATCAATTCCTTATTTAGTAAGACTTTGGTCCATTTAGCAAACATAGAAAACATACAAATTGGCCTTCGGTCCTATTCATATATAAGATGACCATAGGTCTATCCTGTCAAACATTCCAAATGGCCTTAGGTCCATTCCATGTCCTTATCAAATATATTGAACTGCCTTGGGCCCATTCTCTATTTGTACAAAATGATCTCTGGTCCAATCTTATAATTTTGTGCTTATCAGTCGCTTTTCAAGTCTTCTACGAATCTGACAAGTAGAATACTCATTCATAATACAAATTCATGAGTTCGGAAAACTTACCATATAGGTAGTAATTAGAAAATAACATACATGAAAATATCTTTACTAATATATTACTCATAGTGCTTAGATGGTTGATTCGTCCTCGTGATTGACCCTACACAATTCATAGCACATACGAAAATTGGGTCACAATACAATTCAATCCGTTCTCAAATTCATTTATCTTTCTTAGGCTTCTTTCTAACTTTTTTTGGTTCATTTAGGATGCTCAATGTATGCCTAAGAATGCTCATAAATGAAAAAGAACGGAAAGTGAGACATAAAATAACTTTTTAAAGTTTCTAAAAATGGGGCACTTCACTTGAGCGCAATGTTGGTCACTCAGGCGAACCCCAGGCGAACCCCTTGGTTTGCAAAAGTACTAGATGCTCTCATTTTATGCTTGGGCCAACTTTTTGGTTGCTTGAGCCAACTTCTTGGTCGCTCAAGCCAAGACCAAAAATAAAGGGTGGTCGCTCTAGCGGTCTTTTGGTCGCTCGAGCCAACTCCTAATGTCTGCAAAAGTACTGGGAGCTTAAAATGTACACTCGAGCGACACTTCCATCGCTTGAGCAAACTACTCAAATTTTGGAATTTCCAGAATTTTGTTTGATATTCAAATACACATTCAAGACTCCAAATTCATGCATGACTCACTCAAACATGTAAGAACACTCCCAAACACATATATTTGAAGTTAGTTTCAAACCATTGTTCAAAATTCCATGAATTCATCAAAATTTGAACCACAAACTTAATGTATGTGAACTATTTTTCAAATCTTGCATCTATAGACTTTCAAACTTAGAATTGGACTCTAAAACATGGTAATTCATGCATGCATGTAAAATATAATGTCCAATTCATCATAATTTACATGGGTTATGCTCAAAAGTGAAGAATCAAAACAAATTCATGCATGCACGCCCAAATTGATCACAATTCCTACAATCTTTGCTCAATTCTCATACTTAACTACTCATTCTTCTTGAAGTCGCATTTAGATGACTTAAGTTCATGAATTCAGAGTTCAATCACTTACTTAAAGCCGTCTATTCTCTGAATTCTAGCTAGAACTTGAGTTAATCTTCATAGTCTTTCAATCCCTTGAGCTAAGGTAACATTTACATTTTCAGTTTATATTTACCAAATTTTTATAAACTGGTTTTTGTTTATTTTTTGTTTATTTTTTGAAAAAAATAAACTACAAACGCGTTTGGTAATTGACAAATTGTTTAAAAATAATAAAAAAAAGAGTGAGAAATAGCAAGTGGTGGCAAGTGGCGGCGGAAGACGGTGGTGAAAAGTTGTGACAGTGGGCGGTGGGTAGTTGGTGGTGGCGGGTTGGTGGCGGTGGTGGGTGGGTGACGGTGGCGGGTGGTGGGTAGCTGGTGGTGGCAGGGTGGTGGCGGTGGTGGGTGGTGGTGACAGGTGGGTGGCGGATGGCGGGTGGTAGTGGGTGGTGGCGGGTGGGTGGTGATGGTGGGTGGGGGACGGTGGCGGGTGATGGGTGGTGGTGGTGGTGGCGGCGGCGGTCAGTCAGAAAATATAGTAGTGAAAATACTATGAAAAAATATACAATAATTAGTAAAGAGAACAAAATTACATTTTTGCCTTAAAAAATTTCGTGTGCGGGTCACATGACAATTTCCGCTACGAAATTTATAGCACCAAACTAACAGAGGGGCTACATTGCAACTTTACCGAAAGTGCGAGGGTTGACCATTACAATTGAAAAACGAGGGGACCATAATAGGATTTGGTATAAAATGCAAAGGTGCAATGTGTAATTCACCACCCAAAAAAAATGCCCAAAGTATATGCAAAGCAATTCACCTTCTCAATTGGAACTTCATGTCGCTTGCACCAAGCAACTGTGATCCTAGGATCAAGGTAGTTGATCTTTGATGTACCCAATGCCACAGTTTTCAAATCTTCTTTGGTCTCCTTGTCCCGCTCCATTTTCTCAATCTTTGCAGTGGTTTGAGCAATCTTCCTCTCCAACCTACAAAATACATTTACCACTAGCTCCAGTGAGGCAGCCTCACATAGAAGGTGTACCTTATATACACAAGCAAGGTCTAGTGCTTACGCTTCAGGGTTCAGGTTAAGACTCAAAATGGAAACACATTTTTTGTGTTTTCGTTTTTTGGCCAAATTTATAAACTGAGATCACTGATTTATAAATCAAAAATTTTACCGAACAAGTTTTTATTTGAGTTTTTAAAATTTTTGTAAATATAAACAGAAAACTGAAAACGTAAGTGTTACCAAACGGCACCTAAGGTTTCCTCCCCTTTCTCTTGAATTCTCACTTCCCTCTCTCTCTAGGGTGTACAACTTCAAAATTTTGAGCTCAAGAATGAGCTTAATCACAATTAGAACAAATATATATATATATATGTATGCATGACTAATCAAAACGGCTAAACAAGGTTTAATGCTAATTAATTAGGCTCACTTAAATTGAATTAATCTAATTAATTTGATCCGATTTAATTTTTAATCAAATTTCACCATTGGCTCTAAAAACTATGCTAATCACAATGGTACAATCAATTTTCGTTTATGTCGCCTCTACAACCCTCAATTTTAGTTTATTACAGAATACTAAATAGATTTCTCTACAATGGACAGATAAAAATTCAAAAATGCATATAATCACATGCTTAGCACCCAAAATCATGTTAAGCACATAATTACAAGTATAATTAAAGATTAACATAGAACGGGGTTATCACACCTGAAACAGTTCAGAAACAAATAACAGTTGTAAGAGGGTGAAAAGAACAAAAACACTAATGGAGAGCTTTGGCTTTTGTACTTGAAAACCCCTATGCTACTGAGAACGTTGTGTCAAGTACACTTTCTATATGTGGTCATTCAGCTCATATACTCATTGATTCTGGATTAACTCATTCTTTTGTTTCTCCACATTTTACTCCCAAATTGACATCAACATCTAAACCCTTGGGATATGCATTATCTATGTATTTTCCATCTAATGGTTCCGCACTTAGTACAGAGGTATATAAATCCTATGCTATATCCCTAAAAGATGAAACCATGTATGTGAATCTGGTTCCACTCCGTATCAGTAGTTTTGATGTAATCTTAGGAATGGATTGGCTTGCTGCAAACCATGCCTCTATTGATTGTATAACCAAAAAGGTCTTTCTCCAGTTACCCAACCAACGCGAACTTTTCTTTGAAGGAATTGGAGTTTCTACCCCTCTATGTTTAATATCCATCGCAATAGCCCGACAACTTTTGAGAAAAGGCTGTTGTGATTATATTTGTTATGTAGTCAACACTCAATAAGTAGACCCAGATTCAACACCCATAGCTCAAGAATTTCTTGACGTCATTCTTCAAGACTTACCTAGTACTTCAGTCGACCGAGAAGTCAAATTCACCATTGAAACTCAACTCGATACACAACCGCTATTAAAATCTCCTTATCGCATATCGATTATGGAATTAAAAGAGTTGACAACGCAACCCCAGAAGCTGCTCGACAAGGGCTTCATACAACCAAGTACCTCACTATGGGGAGCTCCAGTACTATTAGTAAAGAAAAAGAAATGGTACAATGAGATTATGTATCGATTATCGAGAATTGAACAAGGTTACCATAAAAAATCGGTACCCTTTGCCATGAATTGACGACTTATTTGATTAACTTCAAGGCAGTCAAGTATTTTTGAAGATCGACTTGAGGTCTGGCTACTATCAAGTGAAGGTCGAGGCTGGAAGCATTGAGAATACTATATTCAGAACACGTTATGGATACTACGAGTTTCTTGTCATGCCATTTGGCGTCACAAACACTCCAACAGTCTTTATGGACCTTATAAATCAAGTGTTCAAACCCTATCTCGATGAGTTTGCTATTGTCTTTATTGATGATATTCTTGCATACTCTAAAACATCAGAAAACCATGAACAATACTTACGATCAGTTCTGGAGACACTACGTTATCACAAACTTTATGCCAAGTTGAAGAAATGCGAATTCTGGATCACTAGTGTACACTTCTTCAACCATGCCATTGACAAGAACGACATCTCTATTGATCCACAGAAGCTTGCAAGTATCATGGATTACCCGCGACCTCCTAATGTATTTGAAGTTTAGAGTTTCTTGGGATTGGTAGGATATTACTGACGTTTCGTTCAAGATTTCTTGAAGATTGCATCACCATTGGCTCAATTAACCCATAAGAACACACCGTTCAAGTGGACTGACAAACGAGAACGTTGCTTCTAGGAGTTAAAAAGTAGACTTGTGACAGCGCCCATATTGGCACTTCCTACTGGAATGAATGGATTTCTAATCTATAGCAATGCCTCACATAATGGACTAGGTTGCGTACTTATGCAAGATGGGAAAGTTATTCCGTACGCCTCACGTCAACTAAAGATTCACAAGAAGAACTACCCAACTCATGATTTGGAGTTGGTTGCGGTGATTTTCGCTCTTGAAATTTGGCGTCATTACCTCTACTAAGTAATAGGTAAAATTTACACCGACCACAAGAGTCTTAAATATCTGTCTACACAGAAGGAACTAAACATGAGGCAACGATGGTGGTTAGAGTTTATGAAAGATTATGATGTGAAGATTCAACACCACCCAGGCAAGGCTAATATGGTAGTAGATGCACTTAGTCGGAAGACCAGCAGAAGCTTGGCATACTTCTTTATTGAAAATAAATCACTGGTTGAAGACTTGGAAAAACTAGACTTGGAGTTAGTTCCACACATGGCCGATGGATTTCTCATTAATATAATCATGGAACCTACGATAATCAGTGAAATTAGGGCATGTCAATGTCAGGACAAGCTTTCAAAGAAAAGGTATGATGAACAAAGAAGTACGCCCAATTCTGATTTCATCATAGACAATGGGGTACTAAAGTTTCAAAACCGAATTTGTGTACCTAACATTCTAGAGATGAAAAGAATATATTGATGGAAGCCCAGAGCTCAAGATTCGTAGCTCATCCTAGAAATACAAAAAGGTACCATGATTTGAAAGAGCATTATTGGTGACGAGAATGAAGAGAGACATAGCAAGCCATGTTTCCAAATGCTTCTAATGTCAACGAGTTATGGCAGAGCATCAGAAACCTACAGGGCTACTACAACCACTCCCTATTTCTGAATGGAAAAGGGAACACATTACCAAGGATTTCATTATTGGATTACCACAATCAACCTCAAGGAACGATGCGATATGGGTCATGGTAGAGCAATTAATGAAATCTGCACATTTTCTATCTGTCAGAGTCATGTACTCTCTTAACAAATTTGCCACTTTATATATCAAGGAGATCATTCGATTGCATGGCACCCCGGTATTCTGGAACAAGTTACAGGTAACTTTGAGAACAACACTAAAGTTTAGCACTGCTTATCACCGAGAAATCGATGAACAATTCAAAAGAACAATTTAGATATTGGAAGACATGTTGTGAGTATGCGTATTAGACCTTAAGGGTAATTGGAACGAGCATCTACCATTATTAGAATTCGCTTATAACAACAATTACCAAGCAAGCATCGAGATGGCACCGTATGAAGCATTATATGGGAGAAAATGTCGATCGCCTATATATTGGACAAAAGTAGGAGACAGAAAGTTATTAGATCCAAAAATTGTGCAAATGGCCACTGACAAAATTCAACACATTCAACAGCAAATTTGCACTGCCCAGAGCTACTAAAAAAGCTATGCAGATACATAGAGACGAGATTTGGAATTTCAAGTAGGAAAGCATGTTTCTTAAAGGTCTTACCAACATGAGGAGTCATTTAATTTGAAAAATGAGGAAAATTGAACACGCATTACATCTGGCCAATTGAAATACTGGAAAGGATTGGCCCAGTAGCATACCGTCTTGCCCTTTCACCAGAATTGTCCAATGTTCATGATATGCTTCATGTGTCGATGCTCTAGTGATATCTTCGAGATTTAGAACATGTCATTGATCACGAAGACCTAGAAGTTCAAAACAATCTCTCTTATGAAGCATAACCAGTACAAATCCTCGACCGTCATGATCAAATTCTCTGAAACAAGACTATACCTCATGTAAAAGTCTTATGGAAAAATCATTGTGTTGAAGAAGCTACATGGAAAACTAAGAATCAAATGCAAGCCGATATCCACATCTTTTCGAAAACTAAGGTACGACAAGTTTGGGGACAAACTTCTATTTAGGAGGAAAAAAAAGTGACACCCCAAATGCTTAATTAATTTTAACACATCATTAATACCAAATTAAAAATAAAATAAAATAAATATATATAAATAAAATAATAGTAATATATTTGATTTGATCGTTATATGTGCTAAAATGTAATCTAATTTGAATCAAGAGGCATTGGTTTTGCTAAAAATGTGATTAATATATTGTTTGGGGTCAAATCAAAGCAACCACAAAATTATTATAATAGTTTGGCCAGGAGGGAATTAAGAGGAAATGTAAGTAATATGGCTGAAGGTTTTTAGAAAGGCCACTTGTGATGGCTGTAACATTTAAGGAAATGAATCACCACTTAGGTGTGATGGTTAAGGGAATGAGTCACCATCAAAAGCACAAGTATAAAACGGGGTAAGTAGGAAGCCAATTGTTGGCCATATATTTTGTGCAAGCCAATCACAACTTGACACGTGGTTCATAAGGGGAATTTGAGAAGTCAGAGAAAGTCCCTAGTCATCAACAGACATGTGACAACTTGTATCAATGGCGATGGATCTGCAAGACACTGGAACAGTCAAGATATGCAGGGTGATGTGGCCAAACAGTTGCTTATAATTTAAATTCAAATTCTAGAGGGAAGCCCAATCGCAAGACTAATTTAGCGAGAGCAAATTGTTTAAAGCCATGTGCAGTGATCATGGAGATTACTTCAGCAGTTATCACCCACTTTGACGGTTATCATCTAAGCCTATAAATAGTGAAGAAGGTTGATAGTGAAGGTCCCAGAACCAGATCTAGAAAGTAGTTTATTTACCTTACATTTTTCTTTCCAATCTTTTATTTCCAATCCTTTACTTTCCTGCACTGTATTTCAAACTCATAGGAGTAATTCTATGTTAGTCTGTTGCTGTAACCCCCTTCAAAGCTATAAAAGTGCGAAGGTACAATTGTAAACTCTTGTTTACTTAATGAAATTTGATTTTTGACATTGTTTCTCCCTCTTTCTTTTACTTTTGTGATTAGTCTTCTGAATTTTCTTCTAAAACCAACCACCAATAAAAGTCCTCTTTATTGAGGCTGAAAAGAACATCGAAGCAATCATCTGATTAATTGATCGACATTTACTATCGTTGTAAGGACTTATTGGTCCTTGCTGGAATGCGCTATTTACGTTTCTAACCTTCAAAGCCAAAAAAAAAACCAACATATATTTTTTGCACGCCTAGTGGGACTCATTATAATGGCTAGCCTTAGGAGCCAATGAGAAAATGAACTCCTCAAAGAAGGTGTAGAAGGAGATGTAGAAGCACATTACTTAGAGGATAATGTAGTATCACATCCCATGGATGTGCCTACTTCAAGTGATCCTACACAAGTGATCAAAAAGACCAGCACTTCAGGATATGCAACGCACATCCAAAATATTGGATAGGGCCATGAAACTGGACATTTAATTGTTCCATCTACCTAACCAATGAATCCATGGGGTCGATTGGTTGATGTTATGGGACAACAGTTAATGTATGTAATGTAAAGATGGGCAACATCCTTTTGGAATAGAATGAGCTCCTATCAACCACCTGTCATAAGGCAGACTAAAGAGAACATAAACTTACTTTAGCAGAGATTGGCTCGAGATAAACAGCCTATGCAAAGTAATGGACAAAATAATAGGCAAACTAGTGGTCAAACTAATAATCAAAATCATGAGAGACCATCACTTGTGCCTCAATCATGGTATGAAGCTCCTCGTTGACCACTAATAAGTCAGAGCACACCTTTGCCTACCAGCGAAACTATATACATTGATAGTTTGGGCTGATACAAGGAAATAGCATGTGAGTGTTTTCAAATCCTATGTTTGAACCTATGCCTAGCACACAGGTGTTCACTAATCCTGTGTTAGAACTTACACCTGGGGGGTTGAAAGGAATTCCTGCAGTTGGAAGAGAAACAACACTTGTTCCTCCTCTAGTAGTTCCCTTCGTAGCACCTTTTATGGGACAAATGCCTGCCCCAAAGGGGTAGCCATACCCTCAACA